ATTGAGCCCCAAATGTATGCCGTTCAGTGAGAAATTTGTTAAGCACGTTTTGCCCCATTTTACGAACTTTCTCGCCTCATTGGTTAAGTGAATCCCTGCAGTTCTTAAATGAGTCATGCGGTTGTTAAGTGAATCTGGTTTCCATGTTGACTCGGCTTGTCAGAAGGTCGCAAAGGGAAATCACATGACCCTGGGACACGGCAACCGTCATAAATGTGAACCACTTGTCAAGCATTCGAATACAAATCAGGTGACCATGGGGATACTGCAACGGACGTAAGTGTGAAAAAAGATCGTAAGTCACTTTTTTCAGTGCCGTTGTAACTTTGAACGGTCACGAAACGAACCGTTGTAAGTCGAGGACTGCCTGTATACTCACACACACACACCCGCCCTTCCGAAGATGTGAGCCTCACGCTGTTGCCCAATTCGAAGATGCGAAGTTTTCCCCGCGTCTGAACCCCAACGCTGAAGTCACCCGTGGACTTCATGAATAATAATTGAGCGGTTAATGTTCCCTACAAATCTCCAATTTCCCCTTTTTTTTAATTAATTCACAGTTCTCTAAAGAAATATCTGTCAAGGAAGAAAGGACCATAGCAAATTGGTTTGCACAATCATCTTCATTTTAGAAGAAAGCCTGTGGGAACACAGGGGGGGGAGGTGGAGGGGGGACGGGGAGGACGAGAAAAACAGCTGAAGAAAACTCCAAAAAGTATCTTCAGGTCATGGAAAAAGAATCTCCTTTGCAAGAGGAAACCTACCGTATTTTTCGGAGTACAAGACACACCTTTTCCCCCCTTAAGAGCGTGGAAATGTTGGTGCGTCTTATACACCGAATACAGCCATCTTTGGCCTCCCGAAGCCTCACCCTGGCGTCCCATGAAGTCTGCAGAATGCTCCTGGGGGCTGGGGGAAGGTAAAAACGCCTCAGTTTTTGTGAAAAACGGCCTGTTTTTCGCCCATTTGTTGCCCGTTTCTTGCAAAAACAGGGGCATTTTTGCCTTCCCCCAGCACCCAGAAGCACTCTGCAAGCTTCAGCTTGGCTACGGAAAGGCAAAAATGCCCCTGTTTTTGCAAGAAACGGGCAACA